CTGTCTGATATGTAACATGCTTTCCGTATTTTGAAAGCATTCAACAATTAGCACTTAAGTTTATAGTTTACTTAAATGTATAGAGGTTACCTGCAAGCATTTTTATCCTTGTTGCTGCTTCCTTCAGTTAAATTGTTTACACTTTATCTTTCTCACAATACACCTTTTTAGTGTTAAAAGGTACACAGGAGCTATTTAGATTTCTTTTGTACAACATATTTGGAGGCAACTGAAATCTCTAAACATTATTGTGTTTTCTGCTCTAGTCTCTGATTATTCATCTAGGGAATCCTAGATTCACTATCTTTTTCAGTACAATAATTACAGGCATCTAAGTGAAATTGTAAAATAGAAACTTGACAACAAGCAATGGGAAAGACACTTTTCGTCCAGTATTTCTTCAGACTATGGAATTCATTGTCAGCATCTAGGCTAGGTGTTCAATAATACAGTATAATACCTCTTTCCCTACTTAGGCATGCCACGGTAACCTCCATGAAAATCTTTGATTTATGGCTTAGTGCTCCCACCCATCCACATCATGTCTTAGTGTGTCATTTCTATTTGCTTCCTACTCCACCAATGAACGTCTCTCTCATTATCTACCTTCGATTTTACAATAGAGATGCCTCTTATACCAATAAAATTTAAAGCTAGCCATTTTCATTTCTAAATTTGGGGTTCAGACTTCAAATGCTGAGATGGAGCCGAACACAGAAGACATGCACAGGGAGTTATATGGAATATCACTGTATTGCTGGTACTCAAGATAAGTTCTGGATAATTTAAGTTACTCCAAAAGCTAGAAACAAACCTTAACTAGGAAAATGTTTATTTACAAGATATTAACTATGTGATATTAATTCCATGTGTGGATCCTCTCATTCTAAAACAAGAAGAACTTATTACAAAACAGTTTATTTCCAAAAGAGTGTGTGTGTGTATATATATATATGTGACCTTTATCAGAAGACTGCACTGCAAACAACTTTTCAGAAATCTCTCATTAGCTAAATTCTTATTTTTCTTAGTTCATAAATATTCAATGGTAGCTGGTTTTACTTTTCTCCAAGAATTTATACAAATTGACCACAATGTTGATCATTTCATATAACTCCTTACTGACACTAAAATAGACTGCTGCGTACTTAAAAAAATTAAATATGTGTATCTCTCCTTAATACAAGTTCTGCAATATTAATTTATATTGAATCTTCTAATTGAATGGAAATCTCAAATGCAAATTGCAAATGCAACGGAGAACTGGTCGAACTGAAACTGATCATATACAACAGTGAAGTGGGGGGCAAATAAAATGGAAGGGTAGATGTGGCACTTAGGGATGTGGCTTACTGGTAGACTTGGTAGTGCTGGGTTAATCATTGGACTTGATGACCTTAGGGGTCTTTTCCAGCCTGAACGATTCTAGGATTTCAAACTGTCTTCCAGAAGCTGAGTAAAATATAAAATTATATATGCACTTCCTTGGCTTTTGGTTCCTTGCATGTGCTATTATCATGTTCTACTTGTGCAGACATATAGACAGACAGACAGACAGAAAGATCTATACTCTTTTTTCAGTCCAGAAATTCTAGTCTACTCTTAGTTGACAAGTGAACATGGAATCACAAGAAAATACTACATCTTTTTTTCTCTCCATAGGAACAAGATATAAAAGGCGAAGTAATACATATATCAAATCAAACATTCATATATCTCAATATCCTACCTCTGGCAACTGTGAATTAATGATAACTAAGGAACAGTATAAAATAAAGCACATAATGGTAATGCCATAATAAACTCTCCTTTACCCATGGAAAACTTCCAACACAGAGCTGGTCTAATGCCTCTAATTCAGTTTGAAGTACACTGGCATAGAAAGTCACTGTTCATTTAAGAAGTCACCACACACTTTTCATGAGTCAGATCTTCTTTATCTTTTCTAAATCTTTTCTAATTCTACTATATGGTTTTCAGGACTAGAACCCTAGAAGTGTACCAATTCTCAAGGACAAAGACAGACCAGAGGTTTGTACAATGCCATAATGATGTTTGCTTTGTTCTCTATTCCTTTCCAGAAATTCTTTTAATTTTATGTGCTGCTTTTGTCCACTGTTGAATCATTGGCTATTTCTAAGCACAGAGCTGACTTTATCATAGAATGATCTACTATAATTCCAAGATTTCTATCTTGAGTGGAAATAACCATTCAGAGCACATCACTATGTATGCAAAGTTAGTTTTTTCTCCCAATGTTCATCACTATCAATACTGGATTTCATCTGGCACCTTATCACACCATCTCCCTGTATTGTGAAATCTTTTGCAGCTCTCATCAGTTAATTTCCATTTTCACTTCACCGAATAGATTAGTATTAGCACACTTTGTCACCTCCTTATTCACCTATTTTTCCAGATCATTTATGAACACCTTGAGCAGACAGGCTTAGCATAGATTCTTCTGGACTTCACCAATGATCTTTTAATACAGGAAAAAAAAATTTTTTTCCTAAAATTTAACCATTTATTATTCTAAGAGAAGACCTTCCCTCATGTCTCATTGCAGCTTAATTTGTCACTAGCTTTGATGTACAATCTTCCTAGAAACCTCTCTTCAGAATGCAAGCGAGAAATAATTTGCAAATATTTTCTGTTACTTTGATGAAAGCAAATTTATTTGTAATTTTGATTTTAATTTTCTGATTTTTGAATAAATTAATTTTCCATTAAAATACACATATTGATGATAATTTTCCTTTTTGTTTTCTTTTTGTTTGCTCTCAGAACGAGCTTCTGTTACAGTTTTGTGCATGTGGCACAATGGTCTTCATTTGGCAAGGAGCTTAACTTTAAGTATAAATGTGGTTCTATTCAATTGAGAACTTCAAAAAGTACTTCACACAAATTACTTTTTTCATGAATTAGGACAAGAAGTGAGGTAATTAAAACATGAGGTTTGCTTACATGACAGGGGATGCAAGTTTTCACTGCTTTCGGTTTCTACACATTGAAATAACCATAGTCTATATAATATCAATATTTATAAGTCATTGACTAGTGAGATGCTAGGTCATAGTTCAGAAGACCTTTTAAAAGCAACCAAAGACAAAGGCATGGCATAGTCAGTTCCCAGGCCATCTAGAAGTACCAAACTAAGACCAAAGAACACAGAACAGCTTTATCTTCGGGTAAGTTAATTATGTACTAAAGCCAGCAATGCTCATGGCACTGGCCTCTGTAACAGGAAACATATCAGGATTCCTTTTCCCAGGATACTGCTGTGAGCTACAGCTTACTGGAGAAAGTGCCAAGTCAGCAGAGGACCACAGGATTCCAGTACCAGCAGGAATACAAATAAACAAAAGGTATCACTAAGAAAACAAGGCACCTTCATTACATGAGAATCCAAGAGGATGCTGGAAGTGTAAAAGGATTATGTATTCATAGAGAAGAGCAGCTCAGGGAGCGAGTCCCAGACAGCAACTACTCGTCCCTGGACTCATACTATTACAACCCCGACTTTTCATGCATGGTAGATGCTGCTAGAAGTCAAGTCTGCTTAAGTTCAAACATACCTATTATCTGCTAAAAATGGCAATCGTTCTATAGAGGAAACCCGTCATGAACTATTACTGCTTCAGGGGTCACTTAGCTGTTCATTAGTCCTGGAAAACATGTCATGTATAGGCCTCTCTCTTCTGTGTCCCACAATGTCATGCCTACTTCTTGCTTTACATACTTATAACTAACTCTCTATAATGAGAATATCACTTCTTCAACATCCATCCAAAAGACTATGTACTACCTATCTCAACATCTCAGTTTCTCAAAGTAGTGACACTCTTTCTTTTCTCTTGTTCGAAATGAGGGGAAGTAAATCTTAATAACGAATAAAGTGTTTCTGAAATGCAAGAAAATGTACCATTAGTAATCTACCAAAAATTTTGAAGCACAGGTCAATGTTAGTTTGTATTACTTACCTTCTGGCTGTTTAACGCTGATCTTACTTTAATTCAGTACAATTTTTATATGAGTATGCTGGCACAATATGAACACAGATACCACAATACTAAAGGATTTATATAAAGAGATTTAGGTGAACTTTCTATGACCATTATTCTTCCAGAGTTTTTCAAACTTGTTTTGTATTAGCCAGATGATCTTGCACTTTTATATTTACCACTTCAAGATTGCCAACCAGATACCAAACATGGATGATTTGTGAATGTTATACTTCTTTGTGCTTTTAATTTCAGATAAGCAGCTGAAGAAGGCTGGAAATGGTAGTGCTACATTTTATTAACTAGATTTAAATATGATTTGTGAAACTGGACACATAGATTTCTCTGTTTCGGTCACTGAAACATCACAAAGGAAAGATGAATTGGAAGTACAACTTTATGTCTCTACTTGGTCACAGCCTTTATAGTCCTAATCAATAAAAAAATAGGGCTCAGTCAGCTTCCTCTCTTGCATTCTTCATGATGAGGCAAATATCTAACTTCAGCAATTGCTACAAGACAGTTCCTTCGCAGTGAATTCAGGAGTTTTGGCAATAGAAGTTATTCTGTAGTGTTTGAACCACTACAGGGCAAACCAACCCTGTCACTCAGTCCAGAACAGATAGTCTTTTCAACTACAGAGGAGAGCTGGAAGAACTATTCTGTTTAATGACATCAGTGTCCAAGCTTCCCTTTGCTGTCTTAGGGATGTGCCTTCTTTGCTGCTTTCAGACCACAGGGATTAGGTACACATTGTCTAAAATAGAAACCAAACCCCTCAAACCACCAATTACCTTAACTGCCCAGTTTTCTCAAGATAAAAATGAAACATGCACCCCAGAATACTTTAGTTCAGAATAAAAAAAAGGTAGCAATTCACATGACCAACATTCAAAATTATGTAGACAGTAGAAACTGAGGGTGTACATTCAAAAAAAATGAAGGAGGAAAATATTTTTAATTATATGGAACAGAACAGAGAGGAGATTTGCTTACTTTATGTTTCTCTTGTTTTCCACAAGAACTGTAGCAAAGTAAGCCAGAACTCCAGACATGGCACCTGAATTCCCAGTATCTGGACGGTTTTAAGAGAAGAAAAACAAATAAGGAATGAAAAGAGAACTCCTTGAATACTCAAGAAACAAGGCTAGACTACACTGAAGCACAGAGAGCTGAAGATGGGGGGGACAGGTCTCAGGGATGAGGAAGCAAAAGGAGATAATGTAGCAATGAAAATCCAAAAAGTTTTGTCATGAATTGAAGGAAACTACATGACTACAGTTCAGTCTTCTTTGTGCCAGCACTGCTTTACGGTCCTGCACTGCTGAATGCAGGGAACTTCCCAAACCTGTGCAGACACCTCCAAGCAACACCCCCCAGCATCAGCAACCATCCAACTTAAATGGATTTTGGATGTTCAGTTTTTCCAGGGGCAGTCAAACATGGAGCCTATGGCAACTCCTTGATGTTAGCTGAAAGTCTTCAGCCCTGTAAACTCTATTGTGTCTCTGAGTGTGGGACTGATAGTTTCAAATTTTTTAGTAGATATTTGTTGTTTTAGTTTTAGCTCTCTTGTCAATTTTTTTCTCCCTATTCTAATGGATTAAAACTTTTAAAGGTACATGAAATCTTCTTTGCTTTTTTCATTTAATATTCATAAGTAACGTATGAGAAATTATACCAAACGTTCTAAAAATAAACAAAGTTTTAAGTGGGAACATGAGCTCTTATCCCAAACTGCGCAACATGTTATGATCATCTTTGGTTCTTTCTCAAGTCCTATAAAGTATAAAGAGAACAGTATGAATACAGCCAAGTGTCAACTATGCCACTTCCCATTCTATCATCATGATCTAACTCAAATATTTCAGTGAAAACTGAACGACTTCACAGAATCATAGAATTGTTTAGGTTAGAAAAGACCTTTTAGATCATCAAGTCCAATCACAGAATGGACAAATCCCAATGCACTTGATGAGGAGTAAATTATTGTATACCATTTAAAAAGTGTCAAGATTCAATCAGATCAGACTTATATTGGGTTAAAAAGCTATGTAAATATAATTAATCCTTTTTAAAAAGAAAGGTAATGTGACAATTCTTACTTACTTGCAGATCAGTATAGTAAAATGGCTAAAAGGACTAAGGAGACGCTTTCCTGGAATAGCTTTTAAAAGTTCACATGAAAAACAAGATTCAAATTTTATATTTAAATATGTTTTCATCATATAGATTTGAATAGGTGATTTAGGGAGAAAATCCTTTAAGCTTTAAATTATCACATTGTGCATAACAGCAGAAGAAGAAACACTTTAAAAATTCCAATTTATGAAAAACAAAAAAAGTTTATTTTGTGAATTCCTTAAGAATTTTGTGGGTTAATTCTGCCTAAAAGTACACACTAATACTTGACACAGGTTTATATCTATCAATTTGTGGAATATTTTCTTCAGTTGATTTCAAGATGTAATTTTAAAAGTAGTAATGATTTTCATAGTTAATTCTGTTGTCACCCTGCAGACTCCATTTTATTTATGACCAAGTCTTGACTGTATTAATACTGAGAATAAGACTGATAGGCAATAAAAGGAAAGAAAATCAAGATTCGGCTTTGTAGCACTGCAATCATGTTTAGGTGACATAAAGGAATGGCATCTGGTGATTATGTAAGACAACTGCATCTATCTATGTGTGTTGTAAGTTTATTATATAGTCCATGAAGCACTCATGAACTAATGCATGAATTTTTCAATAATTTGAACTATAAATGAAATAAATTGTACTTCATTTTTTTTAATCATCTTATTTTTTTCAAAATAGGAATACAAAATATGTCTGATGAGATATCCGTGGAGACTGCAATTTTGCATCAGTATCTCACTGGCCACATGTAAATCTTGAGAAGTCTCCAAATGCTGCTTCTGAAAGTGCAGTAAGGCTTTCTCTGTACTGCCAGATATTTTGCAGCAAACATCAGACAGCCATAATTCCAAGAAACATTGTTCAGCAAACTCCGTCAAGAGACAGCACCATTTCCCTTACAGTCTCCAAAGTGCACAGTTGCTCAGGATGCAGGTAACAGCTAAACAAATCTCTTCCTCAATCCAACTGTGTAACAAGAAAGCCCCTCGTTAGCATAGTGAAATGTCAACTAAGTCTCCCAGGATGGCAGCAATAATCATCAAACCACTCAGTCTTCTGCTGTGATCAGCTGGACTTTGTAGCTCAATGGAAAGTTTGTTCCTTCTGTTAACAAACTTAGATATCTAGGGCAGAAACAACAATAAATATTAATTTTATCAGCACCTACTAAAATTCTGCAATCCCCCAATCTACAAATTCCTGAGCTAGTGCCTGAGTACTGGATTCTCTATCAGCATACATATATCCATTCAAGGAGCTTAAATAGCCCAGCTACCTACTCAAACTGTTGTCTAGAGATGGTAGCAATTCTGGATAGAGTTAGCACATCCTACTAAGAAGTTTAAGAGCACTCATAGTAGTATCTGGATTCATGTTGAACTCCATAAATCTCAGAGCAGTCTTTGTTACTCTCAAATTTGGAAGCCACTGCTAACTGTTCCAGATCTAGACCATTATTGTCAACCACCAGTCCATGCTTGCCTCCAGATATGTATTTCGTGTTGAATAAAACTCATCTAACAGACAGTCTTACAGTTGTCATGTGTGCTTCTCTTCCACAAGCTGTCCAGGCTCTCCATTACTCTTCTGCTGCTTCACCCTCTAAAAGCAGCTGCCAAAACTACTGGAAAAGCTGTTTAATATTGACAGTAGACATTGTACTCAAACCATCTGCAGATAAACAGCAAATACATCACACAGATAGTTCCATAGTTGCAATAGCCATTTGTCCATGCTGACTAGATACAAGTTGAAAGAAAGCAATATTTGCTAGCAAAAATACATACTTGGAATAGTAAGAAGTCGATGAAAATTGTGTAATTTGGCCTCAGATTGCAGAATTCCTATTGATTCCCGCAGATTTCCAGCTTTGCTAAACCTCTACCATAGCAGGGCACTCAGCAGCATGCTAAAGAGACTCAGATCTGTTATCTTGTTTTCAGTATACAAATGTATGCAATTATGGAAATTGTATAACCAATTATGAATAATCTATAGAATGAAAATTGTTCACTTAAAAGCCATGTACAACATCCAGTGAATTCATTTAGGGGAATAAATTATTCTAAGACATAAATTCCTAAATAAATTATTCACTGTGAATTGTTCAGCCTCTAGTAATCAAGAGCTAATCTGCTGTTCCTCCAAAGACCAAGTCAGTTAAAAGAATGCAAGTTAATCTGGAAATTGTAATAACCATTGATCCATTTCTCTTTGGCATATATAACAATGCAACTTGTACTGTTTCCTATTTCTTTTAAAAGGCTATATTAATTCATTTGCTGAAGATCAAATCTAGAAAGCGGAAACACTCAAAAGAAAATAAAAAGCAGAAAGGAGAAAAGTTCTTCTCTTGTAACAAACAGTAATATTCTGCCTAATTAGAATTCATTCTAAACAGTTTATGCTCTTATACTACTGTTGTGGTATTATAATCCTCTTTGCTCTCTCAGTTATTCACTCAGATCACTTACACAGCTTTAATTCCCTAGGTACTATATTGAACAAGTATTCTTTCTCAAGATTTTCAGTGAAAGAATTTGATATCTGCTTGGTTTAATTTCACTTTCACTTGGAGATGTAATTTGGGAGGGTGCTGCAAGACAAGCAAAAACCAGTGTCTGAAGATAGTTATTCCAAGCCTTTCCAAGGAGAAAGATCCTTGAGGCAATAGCATACTTGTTAAAATGATGTTGAATGCTTCTTATGAAATCCAACCAGAAATACAGTAGCGTAAATGATTTAAGTATGCATGGGTAGGCAGTAACCTTGCACTGGAGCTGGAATTTGGATTAGTAGATTTATTTTGATTCTTATTCTCTATTATTCTGTATATGGGTCTGGAGAGTTCTACCCTATCTGTAATATATTTATCATTCCTCATTTCTATTCACTGCTACAATGTCCTCACCTTCTTCATGTTCCTTACTTTTACGTGCAATACATCTGCCTCCCAGCATACCCTCTAGCTTACTCCACTTGGTGATTCCTAACTTCCTGCGTTTCTATTTGTCCTATCTCCCAAACTACATCTATTTATCACAAGTTCCTGTTTTGTTTTCCCCTCTGCTATCCCTTTTCATGTACTGTAACAGATCTCAGTGGGAAACTAACCTCCTAGCACACAAAAATATTCATGATTTCAAAAGCTTTCCGTTGAAAGGAAAATAAAGGCCAAATTCTCAAATCTTTTGCAATTTGAAAATGTCAACAGAAGACATACTTTACCAAGATATTTCAATTTTAAAATTCTCATTTTATTGCTGATATTACTATAAAATAAACACATTTCAAAACCATTTTTTCAACAATTAAGAAAAACTAAAATCTTAATTTGGAAAATGGCAAAGTGGGTTGTTTCCACTATTTTAAAACTTTTTCAGAACTATTTTAAGCCAGGAAATTAATCAAAAAGGATCTCCCACAAGCAGTTTAAGTTCAGTCCTGTCAATGTTTTCCAACTAAAAATGATTTAGTCAAAAATTACTCTGATCTACTCTATCTTGTACATTATTGATGATGGTTTGATATGTAGTTCCTCTTAAGTAATTTTTTTCAGTTTGGCTGTTCCAAAAACTTGATATTAAAAACTTTATATTAAAAATACATTAGAGCACAATGTGAATCTTATATTAGGTTTCTAATTGCATCATTTCACCAAGATCAGGTGATGTTCAAATAGTCCAACATTTTCGAACCTTACCTGTAACACTAAAGAGAGGAAACTCTATACTTAAAAAATCTTGAGAAATAAGAAAAGATTCTTTCTTTATCACAGTTCACATCCCAAGTTTGGTGAAAGCTTAACTGGCTAACACTAGTGCTTTGAATAAATTAAAGCTTAGCTCTATAACCTCTGTTCTTCTGAAAATCAGATTCTACAAAGGGATCAACTGCAAATATAGACAATTCAGAAAGACAGAACCATCCAAT